TAAAACATGGACTAGTGAGAGTTGTGTGAGAGTCTGGGCTGATGGAGGGCACTGAGAGAAGTGACAGAGGAAGGTTCAACAGATCTCAATGACTGAACAGAGAGATGGGGGAGGAGAGAAGGGGGAGAAACTAGGCAGCTATAGACCTGTTACTAAATGTTTCCTCATGTATAAAATGGTGATGAGTACCTACCTCTTGGGATTATTATGAAAACCAAAGTGCACAAGTGTCTGGTACATAGTAAGCTCCACAAGAGTGCTTATTCCTTATAGCAGGGGTCCCCAACCCCTGGGCCACTGACCACTACCAGTCCGTGGCCTGTTAGGAACTGGGCTGCATAGCAGGAGGTGAGCAGCGAGCAAGCTCTGCCTCTTTTCAGATCAGCAGTGGCATTAGATTCTCATAAGAGCACACACCCTATTGTGAGCTGAGTGTGGGAGGGATCTAGGTTGTACACTCCTTTTGAGAATCTAATGCCTGATGATCTGAGGTGGAACAGTTTCATCTGGAAACTATTACCCATCCATAGAAAACTTGTCTTCCACAAAAAGAGTCCTTGGTGCCAAAAAGGCTGGGGACCGCTGACTTAGAGAACTCACTGTGAGGGACATGTTTTGGGAAAAAGGTAGAATCTTATCTGGACATGTTGAATGCAGGAGCTTATGGGACCTTGCCCTTAGGCAGGCAATGCATTAGGCACTTGGAACTTTGGCTCAAGATTTGATATGGTTAGCCTCTATGTCCCCACCCAAATCTCACCTTAAACTGTAATAGTCCCTATGTGTCAGAGGTGGGATCAGGTAGAGATAATTGAATAATGAGGGCTGTTTCCCCCATGCTGTTCTCGTGATAGTGAGTTTTCACGAGATCTGATTTTATAAGGTGTTTTCCCGCTTCACTTGGCACTCATCCTGTGAAGAGGTGTCTTCTGCCATGACTGTAAGTTTCCTGAGGCCTCTCCATCCATGCAGAACTGTGAATCAGTTAAACCTCTTTTCTTTATAAATCACCCAGCCTCAGGTATTTCCTCATAACAGCGTGAGAATGGACTAATACAAGGTCTAAACAGAGACTCAGATTTTATGGGTGGGAGTTGCCTCCAGAGGAATGGGTAAACTTGCTTAAAAATACTGTACAAATAAAAAGAGGACCAAGGAAGGTGTCATGAGGGACAACATATTACGGAAGGCAGAGGCAGAAGTTTTAAAGAAGCAGACTAAGATGGTTTGTCTGAAAAGTATGAGAGCCAGGAACAAGTGGTGTCAAGTCAAAGAAGCCAAGAGATGCTGGGTGCAGTGGCTCATGCCTGTAATTCCAGCTACTCGGGAGGCTGAGGCAAGAGGATTACTTAAGCCTGGAGGGTCGAAGCTGCAGTGAGCTATGATCATACCACTACACTCCAGCCTGGGTGACAAAAACACTCTTTAAAAAAAAAAAAAAAAAAATTGGGGGAAGCCCCATGGAATGCTTCAGAGGTAAATTAAGGAAGATAAGGACTAAAAAGTCCTAATCTCTTTCTGTGATCCTGTGGGTCATAAAAATAAAGGCTCACATTTTAAGAGTTGAAGCATAGGAAAGTAAGACGGGAAGAACCTAACGTCGGGGTGGGCAGGGCACAAAAATGGCAAGAGATTCAGGAGGAAATTATGGGTAACACGCCCAACAGGTGGCGCCAAATGCCCTCAGTGGTAGTCTACAAGAGCCTCAGAACCCCTCCTTCTTCGGCAAGACTCGCTGGAGGGAGCTCCATTCAAATCTGCCAGTCACCCAGGTGGCACTCCTTTAGTCAACAAAATATCAAGCTTCCACTATTGGAAAAGTTCTGTGCTAGGGACTCGGAGAGTGTGTATCTGCATGTGCACGTGTGCTCTGTTGTTCCTTTAGTGTGTGGAGATAAGAACCTTTAGAGAGTAAGTCCCACCTATTTTATCTCCTACGTAGCTCTCAAATCTATCTACATTTCGGCCTCTCTACAACACTTTTTTTTTTTTTTTTAAATACACTGGATTGGTGCAAACATATGTACAACACTATTCCCACTTGCTGGGATTAATTGCTGCAATTGCTTTCTAAATTACCCACTCTCAACACCCCACCAACCCTAACATGATTGCCCCTAGTGCAATTTCCTTAAAGCATGTCTATCTCCTAGCTCCCTACTGGTCCACAGCACTGGAAGTCTAGTGCAGTAGTTACAAACGTGGACCCTGAAGCCAGATTGCCTAGTTTCAAATCCCACCTCCAGCACTCACTGACAATGTTGTGATGTTGGGCAAATTGATTAATCTCTCTGTGCCTCAGTTCTTCATCTGTTAAATGCAGACAAGATCTACCTCACCAGATTATAGTGAGGACCAAATGAGTTTACAGGGTAAGTTTTCAGCACAGTGCATGGGACACAGTAAGTGCTCAATAAGTGTTGCCTATTAGTCTTTGAGTGTAAATTCAAGTCCTTATCTGAGGTGAAATGCTCTCCTTGATCTAGCGTCCCTACTTTCTGGCCTTATCTGGAAGCACTCACCTTCATCCTTACTGCTTCAACACCACCTACAGTTACCTTCTCAGTTGTTTCTTCTGCTGGCAATGTTCACTACTCCCTGCTCCCACCCATCCATCCTTTAAAAACAGGAAGGAACTCTTCCATCTGAGATATTTGAATAGATATCACATTAGACCAGAGAACCCTCTGTTCTAAATTCTTGCTAGATCTCTGCACATTGTCCTATTACTTAAAAAATCATGACTAGTTGTCTAATGCCCCTTTCCCCAATCCATATAAATTCTGAGAGCAAGGAGCTGTCGTCTCATTCAGTGCCAGAGACCAACTAGTGAGATTCTGTGAACATCTTTAAGGTGACGACCCAGAAAAAAATGAAATCATGGTGACATCAGTTCCATGCTACCATTCCCACATTTCCTTCACAACTATCACAGCCACTCTCTAGTTGCTCAGGAAAATCTTCTTCCAGTTTTGCACTAAGCCCCAGAGAGTAACACCAGTCAGCTCTGGTCCTTGTCCTGGAGTCCTTCATGTTGGTCACTCATGGAAGCAGGGCCTTCCAATCAAGATATCCCGAGTGAACCTAAGAGCAGCAGTTTGGGAAGGTTCCAGGCAGGCTGGAACTGGGGTCCACAGTAAGGATAGTCTGTGAAGACCAAGTCATGCCTGTATCTTGGATTCAATCAGTATAATCACCACACCGTGATGGTTAATTGCACTCTATTTGTGCTAAGCAAACTCCATGATAAGGCCTTGTCTTCTCATCTTCACCTTATACTTTCTGAGTTGGCAATGTACAGGTCTATGGGCCTAAGGTTGCTGAAAAGGCAATCAAGGGAACTCAATAAATATGTGACTGAGTAAATAAGACCAGACTCTCACCTCTCCACCCCAACAAAAAGCTTCCTATAGAATGCAATAAAAGGGAGTAAATGGCAGCATGAGGGGACAGGGTAAAAGCAGTAGCAATAGAACCCAGATTTCAAGAGCTGAAAAGAGGATGGGGTAAATAATGCCCACAGGACTTCCCAGCTAGTCCTTTGTGCTGGAGACTGTTATTTTGGACTGAAGTCCCTTGGCAACCAAGATGGAACTCAACTCCTGAAACAATTACAATGTCTAAAGGAGGTAGGCTTGAAATAAGTTCAAAATTAAAGTCAACCTCAAGACAGACTGGTCCAGTTGGTAGCAGGCAGGTTTGAAACCCAGGTCAGCTAGGTTGGCAGTCAACGGGATGGGCCAGGCCTTTTCTATCTCTTAAAGCACTTTGGGTTGGTCTGGGTTCAATTTATAGGGAATTAAGTACTTATAGGCCTCCAAAGTCAGGTTGAAATTTTTATTTTTCCATACTACAGAAAACAAATCTTGAGTTTTGAGTACATGAGGAGGGGCTGCAGTCAGACCAAATATTCTATAATGAGCCTCCTCCCAAAACTAATCCAACTCAATCCTTAAATTCCCTCTAAAATGAGACATACTCCTTGATAGACATGCACTTAGCTTAAATCTATTTACTCTGATTTTCAGAACTTTGTAATTTGTACCCCATCACAAGTCTCTATTAAGTACTTATAAATCCTCAACATCTATTCTTCTCAAAAAGGGACCAAGCTCAATGAGAGCTGAAGAGCTTTCATTGGTGTACACAAGTAAGCAAAAAAGCCCAAACATTTGTTCCCCTTTAAAACTTAATGCTTTTGAAAATTGATGCTCAAGCCCCAATTTAATTGGAATTCCTAAAGAGGGTTGAGAATCACTAGTAAAATTTATTGCTCCCAAAATCCACCGTAGTTTGTTTCCAGTGTCATTTATGGCAGAATAAACCATTTGTTTCACTACATTCCTGATCCTAGTTTTCAGGTCCCTATTCAGGTTTCCTACTATTGTCCACTATATTAAACCAAATGTCTCTTTTCCAGTATTTTTTTTTTTTTTTGAGACGGCAGTCTCTGTCACCCAGGCTGGAGTGCAGTGGTGTGATCTCACGTCAGTGCAACCTCCACCTCCCTCCTGGCTTCAAAAAATTCCCCTGCCTCAGCCTCCTGAGTAGCTGTGATTACACGCATCTGCCACCATGCCCAGCTAATTCCAGAATGGAATCCTAACCCCCTCAACTTTTTATACCACCTTTCTCTCCCCTTAGCAAGGCAAGGGGATAATGCATAAAGGATAGTTTTGACTTCAATTTCATTAATTCTTAGAATACTCAAATTAGTATTCTGCTAATAAACTTGATCTGTAAATTTGCAATGTGTGACCATAGCAGCAAAATATAACAAAGTAGGTGTGACTGCCTTTTAAGTCAATAAACCCAACACATACGTACTTACAACCTTTGGCTGTCTTAAGTCTGCTCAGGAGAAAATTCACACATCCAGTGCCACTGTGAAAACCTAAAGCCTACCTCAAAATTTTGAATTCTTGACTGAAGCATGGATAAACCAGAGAGCTTTTTTCATTTAATTATAGACCTAAAGATTACTTCTAAGGACTGTTTACAAAATCAGATGGATTTACTTTATTAAAAACACAAAAGCCTGCTTTGTTTAAATATTAAGATGATCCAATTATAGGATAGCTATTGCTTTTTCTCATTGCCAGAGTATTTTCTCCAAAATTATCAAGGCAGTTCTGATCACGTTCCTTTTGAAACACTACAAAAGCCAATGTTATTAAGGTAACTCAAAACTTGAATAATATTTTCTTTATTTACAAGTTAGAATCAACAAAGACAGTCCAGGGGACCAAATGGGGAGATGACTGAAACCCCCAGGGCCCCAAATGGAGCGAAGGAAAAAGGGAAAACAGTAGAAAAAAAAAGTCAACGTAAAAAAAGAGCTCCCCCTTCTTCCCTCCCCATGGAGGCTGAGGGGACCAAGGCCCCACCCTCCCAGCATTACCTAGCTTAAAATAAATTAGAACAAACAACCTCAAAACAGGGCCCTTAGAAGTCAACAGGGCAGCTATGGCCCTACATAACTCCAGATCAGGGGCTTTGCACACTTCCACCCTATACCCCCTTGCCCTGCCCCAGTCATTTTGAATGGGGGATCTATGTCCAAGAAATCACTCCCCAATGGGGTCTCATGAGAATTCCATCTTATTTTGTCCATATCCCTCCCCCACTGCAGAGCCAGCTCTCCTAGACGAGGGCAGGGGGGTGAGATGAAGTCACAGCAAAGGGGAAAGGGGTGGGTGGGGCAGGGTGATCTAGGGGTCCGGTCCTGCGGAGCCTTCCTGCCCCATCTGGCCTGGCCCCTTAGCCTGAGTCTGAATCACTGGTGTCTGAAGACGATGACGATGAAGAGGAGGAGCTGGAATCTGAGCTGGAGCTGGAAGCACTGAGGCGTGACACTACTACTTGCTGTGCAGAGGATGACTCTGTTTTCTCACTTGCTGCAGAACAAAGTTGAAAGTTAAAGACTTTGTCAATAAAAGATGGTCAAGGCGGCAGGGCACAGTCAATCTCTAGTGGCCTAAAAGTATATACTCACCTTTCTTGGGGGGCTTTTTAGTGGAATTGAGCTGTCCGCTGACATCTTGTAACCGCTTTTCTAATTCCCGCTTTTTCTCCAAAGCCAGTTCTTCCTTTGTCTTTCCCACAGGCTTCTTAATGGCTAATAAAAGAAATTTACCAGGATACATTAGGATTGCCCCAAGCATTCTATTATGGACCTCTAGGTTGCCAAGTTCCTTTCCCGAGTATCAGGAGCCAACCAACACATCCCATTATCCTGGGAGCTGATAATCTTGAATGCAAACAGATTCTACCATCTTTTCTAAACTGTCCTCAGAACCAGATGAGCTGAACCTCATTTCATACTTACTGTAGGGCTTCCGGGGTTTCTTACGTAGGCAGGAAAGGACATAGCGCTCAAGCTCTCTAAGTGTGGATGGCTTGAGTGTTTCGAAATCAATCTCAATCTCTTCTGGGTTTGAATCCCGTAAAGAGGGTTCCCTGGCTTGGATTATGTGCACAACTCGGCCCAGCTTCTCTCCAGGTAATTTGTTGATGTCCAGGCTCAGCTGCCGCTTTTCATCGTAACTCATAGGCCTGCTCTCTTCCTCCTCCTCTGAATCATAACCCGTAGGCAGGGCAGGTGGGGCTGTCTTTGTGGCCTTTTTGGGGAGCCTATGGGCAAAAAAAGTTTCATTAGCCTCTCCCAATATGTTTGACTGTTTAATTCAGTGATCCTATTTCCTGCTCAGAATGCAGCTTCTGTTTTTCCATCAAGTCAGAGGTGGGCTACGGGGACACTGTATTAGTGAAACAGAGCATTATATAAAACTCTTACCTGCCAGGCATTTTATTGTATTTACTTTGGGCTTTCATGACAAACAGGCATACCTCAGCAATTGTGAGTCTGATTTCAGACCATTGCAAAAAGGTGAGTATCAAAATAAAGTGAGTCACACTTACTTGGTTATGTTTGCACTATGTTCTTTTTTTTTTTTTTTTTTTTTTTGGGGATAGAGTTTCGCTCTTGTTACCCAGGCTGGAGTGCAATGGCGCGATCTCGGCTCACCGCAACCTCCGCCTCCTGGGTTCAGGCAATTCTCCTGCCTCAGCCTCCTGAGTAGCTGGGATTACAGGCACGCGCCACCATGACCAGCTCATTTTTTGTAGTTTTAGTAGAGACGGGGTTTCACCGTGTTGACCAAGATGGTCTCGATCTCTTGACCTCGTGATCCACCCGCCTCGGCCTCCCAAAGTGCTGGGATTACAGGCTTGAGCCACCGCGCCTGGCCTGCACTATGTTCTTGACTGTAAGTGGGCAACAGCATTACATCTTTAAAAAGATAATGCACATGCCTTAATGAAAAAATACTTTATTGCTAAAAATGTGATACAGAAACATGTTGGAGGAAGAGTTGAAAGACTTGCTCCATACAGAGTTGCCACAAATCTTCAATTAAAAAAATAGTAGTATCTAAAAAGCTCCATAAAGTGAAATACAATAAAACAGGGTACACCTGTTTAGTATACTGGCGTAGGTCTACCTTTTTGCTCCCTAAAGCACTATCAAACTACAACAAGTGCCAGGCACGATGGCTCACAACTGTAATCCCAGCATTTTGGGAGACCAAGGTGGAGGTGGATCACCTGAGGTCAGGAGTTTGAGATCAGCCTGCCCAACACAGCTAAACCCTGTCCCTACTAAAAATACAGAAGTTAGCTGGGCACTAAAAATGCAAAAATTAGCTGGATGTGGTGGTGCATGCCTGTAATCTTGGCTAATCAGGAGGCTGAGGCCAGAGAATGGCTTGAACCCAATAAGCAGGTTGCAGTAAGCTGAGATTGCACCACTCTCTCTAGCCTGGAGCCTCAAAACAAACCACCCACACACACCCCCCCACCCACCCACCCCCAAAGCTGCTACACCATGTTAATCAAGTCTAGACTCCCTTATTTAGAAAGACAAACTATGTGGCCCAGGGAACAAATATGGTCGTCTCTTGTCTTTGCAAAAAAAAAGTCTTACTGCAACACAGCCAGCTTCATTTGTTTACATACAGTTTATGGCTACTTTCACATTTCACTGTCAGAGTGGCTACGGAAGACCCTATGGCTCCCAAAACTAGGGGTCCCCAACCTCCAGAACAGTACTGGTCTGTGGCCTGCTACTGTGCCACACAGGAGATGAACAGCAGGCATGTGGGTATCACTGCCTCCTGTCAGGTCAGCAGAAGCATTAGATTCTCATAGAAACACAAAACCCTGCTGTGAACTGCATGTGGGAGGGATCTAGGTTGGCTGCTCCTTATGAGAATCTAACGGCCCAATGATCTGATGAGGAATGGTTTCATCCCAAAAACCATCCCCACTTAAACCCTGTCCATGGAAAAATCCGTCTTCCATGTAACTGGTCCCTGGTGTCAAAAAGGTTGGGGAACCAATGCTCAAAGCATTGGTTATCTATATGGCCAGTCTCTATATGGCCAATATTTGTTAACTGGCCATATAGAGAAAACTTTGCAAGGAGAGATGATACCCCTTAGAAAGAAACAGGCCAACTAGTCGCTGCTTCCTACTCTCACTTACTTGGTGCCACTTCCTCCAGAAGGTCCAAAACCCGAAGGGCCTAAAGCAGCACTGCCACCTCCAATGCCACTTGCTTTCTTGGACTTCTTGGGCGGAGGTGGGCGGGGTGCTCGAGGCCCCTTGTCATCTTCATCGGCCCCAGCTCGTCCTCGATGCTTCTCTGCCTTCCGTTTCTTCTTTTTCTCTTTTTTCTCTCTTTTCCTCTTGGGCTTGGATATTGGACCCTGGGACAGAGCAGCCAGTTGTTCATGTACTGCCCGAAGCTAGAGGAAAAAAACATGAAGTGGGAAAAATAAATAAAGATAAAATAAGAAAAAATTAGGACAAAGGCAGGGTATGAACCTCTTACCCAGGTGACAAAATACCTGTTCCTGCAGTTCTGCCAAACGATGAGCCCTTTCTTCCTCTGAGTCTGAGCTTTCACTCTCTTCTTCCTCATCCTCCTCATCTTCCTCCTCCTCTTCCTCAGAGGAGCTCTCACTGCTACTTTCCTCACTGGAGGACTCTGAAGATGATTTGGCCAAGCCAGGGGGAATGGCAGTAGAGACTGGTAAAGGCCCTGGTTCCAGTGGTTCATCTGGCATCTTGGCGTAACGGAACTCAAATACATCCTAGAAAGAAAGAGGCACAGACTCAATACTTTGCTGATAAACAGTGCCCTGCATACCCAGCCACCAAGTGATACAGCTCCAATTTACAACTGTACAGAATGGTGAGATCCTCATGCTGAGGCTATGCAGCACAGATGACAGAATAACTCCCCATACCATTTATTTTTCAAATGCCAACCTTTATACGCACCTGTAGCTTTCGTGCCATTGCCACAACATCGTGATCTGGGGGATTGTACTTATAGCAGTTAGAGAACATAAGCCGTACGTCAGCAGCAAACTCCTGTGCATCCCGGTAATCACGGTTCTCCATCTTCCGCTGCAGAAGGAGGCAGCCATCAGAAGCTGCACAGGCAGGAAGACTCACCTTTCCCTGCCAACCCCAGACACCACAAGAGGAGCCCTCTCTTGAGAGCACAGTGGGGATGACCTTAAGGATCTGTGCCCTGGGGTTCAAGTTTGAAGTCAAAGGAATTTGGGTGGGTTGAAGCAATATTTATGTCTAGAAAAAGAAATCATTTCTAAGTGACAGGGGAGGAGAGGTGGCCTATGACTATCTTTCCACCCCATACCTTCCTTAACCCAACACTACCACATAAGTCAGGCTTAATTATAGGCAGATAGTGTTGTTCAAGACAAACCCCACCCTATTGTTTCAAATTCCAGGAAACATGAATTCTTAAAACACCAGAACTTCTGCCCCACTACTAGTCCATAAAAGTAAAATACCAAGAACCTGAAGACTGCTGTGTGCCCACGTAAGGAGATTTGACTTATTGTTCTGATCCCTAAGCTCCCATCGCTACCCGAGCATCCCATCTGCCCCATGCAGTGGGTACCTTGACAGTGCTGAGGTCCATGGGGTGCTTAATGATGTCATGGTAGTCATGCAGGCCAAGTGCAGAAGCGTCCACTGGTTTATAGAAAGGCCAAGCATAAGCAGCATGCTTCTTAGAGAGTAACTCCTTCAAAATGCCATTGCAATGTTTTAATTGTTCTGAAAGCTTTCCTTTCTTAGAGCTCTGGTGTTGTTGCTGAGAATCAGGCAAGTCTTTGCGTGGGGGCTTGATGGGGCGACCACTCTCTCTGCGCATAGGGGGAAGCCGTGCTGCCTTAGGCTCAAGACTCCCAGGAGGGCTAGCTGGGGAACCAGGAGCCAGGATGGCTGTAGGCGTAGGGGTGGTAGTATCTGCTTTCCGCTTTACACCTTTTTTCTGCAGAAAGAAACAAGACAAGGACCTATTACTCCAGACCCACCTTACTTTAGACCCTTCCCTCCAGGCAGCCCAGAGGAAATCCACAGATCCATACCTTGGCAAGGGGCTGGGCTGGAGGAGCTGCAGTAACAGCAAGGAGTGGGGGTCCAGCAGAGTGCAGGGACTTCAAAAGTGGAGAGGAAATCACTGATGGGTGGGGAATGTTGAGGACAGTGGTAGGTATCTCAGGTGGCGGAGTATACAGGGCTGTGTGTGACACAGAAGAGACAGCAGGCACCTGATGGGCACTGGTAACACTGCCCTGGAGTGCTAGAAAAAAATGCAAAAAGGAAGTTTAGTTTGATTCTCTTTCCCATCTTTAGGTGTCCGTTTGCAAAACCCCTACTCTTCCTACCTGCCAACTTGGCCCCCTTCTTGTGGCTATTCTTAGGGATGGTCACCACCAGCTCTTGTTCCTCTTGGGGCATTGATGCAACTTTCTGTAGGAAGATCTTTTCCAACGTTTGTGCCATTAGGACAATATCATCAGTGGGCTACAACAACACCACAGACAGCAATGAATAAAGTTGGAAAATGCCAACAGTAGATAGATATACACCATCTTTTTCAGAGGTATTCAGGCCCAAGAACATTACCATACACCTGCAAGTAATCTGTTGTCATCAAATCTTGAAGAAAATTTCCTAGTCCAGGCCACTAATTTCCACTTTCTTCTAACTGTCTCCCAAAATCCAAAATAAGAAAAAAACTATATGACCCCTTAAAAAACAGAAAGGATTGAGAGCTCACAAGAAAACAGATCCCTTGTCTACTCAGGTCTCTGGAGCTTTCTAAGAAATAGGGCCACCACCTCCAAGTATGAAGTGTTCTACTTAAATAACCTTTACTGAACCTCTGAAGTCACATCACTTCAGTAACATCTGGAGTCAGGTTTTTAAGACTGACTACCTGGATTGGACAACACATTCTGTAGAAAAGGATTTAAACTTTACTGCAGACAAAAATAATACCTAGCCATAACAAAAGTTACTGTTTCTCTCCACCTACTAAACTAACACAGAGAAACTCACCTTGTTGTAAATGTAACAGTTGGTGAACATGGTATTAAAATCTTGCATACACTCTGAGGCAGCCCAATAATAATTGTTTTCAAGTCTCCTCTTAATAGTACCCATATCCATAGGCTGTTTTATAATTTTGTGATAATCCTAAATAAACAAATGTTAGGTCAGAACCATAGACAAATGCTTATAGGAAGACTACTGATTCCCCCCCACTCACACTCACACACACACCCTCTCTATGCATCAAAGAACAGTTACCTAAACTGCGGCCCCAGTTAAACTGTTGGACAAAAGGAAAAAAAAAAAAAAAAAAAAAAAAAAAAAGGATTCTTGACACCCACAGGGAGCCCCCTTGCTGCCTTTCTCTAACCACCCACCTCCCACCCACTCTGGAAACTTCCCATCCTGTGACATTACCTCTGGGGCTGGCTATCCATGGGCTGCATGAGGGAAAGGAAGAAGCTAAGAATTTTGGCCACCGTGGTCCTCTCCCAACCCGAGGTGGGAATCTGTAAAATGGAGCCAGGGCACAAAAGTTAAGGAAGGACACATGGAGGGCACAATGAAAGATGCCAAGATAGTTACAGCAAGCCGTCGGATCAATCACAAAGGGCCAACCAAGAATCCAGAAATCTGGTGGCTACCTGCCCTACAGGGGAGAAATGGGAACTCCCTAGGGGCCGCAGCATCTACACTAAGCAGACCACCCCCATTCACACACATTCATGCTCATCCCATACCTCCCTACTCCAATGTCTCTACTCACCGGTAGACCCAGCTTGACAGCATCCACAGGCTGCCGGAATGGCCATGCAAACTGATGTTTCCACAAAGCCTTCATCACTACCTTATGTAGGTATTGCAGTTGGTTGGTAACTCGTCCTGGCTTTTTGGGATTGGACACCTCCGGCGGTGGTGGGTTGGCAGGAGTCAGTTGCAAAGCAGGAACCGAAGCCATTGTGGGGCTCTCAAATCCCTCATACAAGAGGGAAGGCTTTCGAATCCTTTTCCCTGGCGCTGCTGCTTCTGGGCCCAGCCCCAGCAACCCTGCATTCCCTTCCCCAGGGAGCCTGTAAAGAGGGGAAACAAAATTAGGATATTATCGTGCAAATCAGGAAAAAGTGCATTTGCACGACGGTCTGATGAATCCAGGTGCCGGCCGCAGTGAGATGGTTAAGCTTGTGCAAGTGCTTAAGCGGAAGCAATATCCAAACAATCTGCGGATCTTCAATCTGTGGCTCTTTTATTGCTGCCCCCGCCTTCATTTTATTAATATTTTTAGTATACCAACCTAAATCCCACTTTCTGAAGTCTGATAAGCTCTATCTCTATTCTTTTTTATTTTTTAAAAAGCTCCAAGATGGTTTCTGATAGGGCACATCTCAGAACTACAGCCCTATGGGGATGGGGCTTAAAAATGGGTGGAGCTTCCTCCTCACTAGGGGTTTGGTGGTTGCCATGGTAGTTGAGCCTGAAAAAAGCCGGTGAAAAGAGGAAGAGAACAAATTATGGAAATAAAAAATTTCAAAAATGCTGATGAGACACCGAAGAATCCATCTAGATAGAGCACCATCTTCCAGAAGCTCTGGATAGTTAACACCACAACACAACATGGACTAGAAATCCAAAGGAAGAATCACACCAACTCAAAACCAAATGCAGACAAGGAAGCATTTGTCAGACTTCACAGCCTGAAACAAAATTTTGCCAGGCCCCCAAATTATTCTCACCAAATGAAAAGTCTCCATCCAAAGTAGTAAAAAAACAGCCATACAAAACAGTCAAGGTCACTAAGCGATAGCTCCTTCCACCCACCCGCTACGCGACACAACCACGATTCCACTACCAGTTTCCCCTTAACACCAACTCAGGACACCAAACGCCAACGATAGTTATTTACAGTCCCCTGCGGCGCTCCTCCGATTAGTGTTTCCCACCACCTAAGATTTGAGACATTATATGGGAATCTCATTGTTTACATCGCAGAGCTGAAGTAGGAGCCTTAGCTCCACCCTCCTGCCCTGAATGAAACTCTTCATGTTAGGAAAAAAACATTCCTCCACCGACAAACACACAACCCACCCAAAGAAAACAAGAGATTTAATGACAGACTCCAGGCGTTAAGAACCCGCAGGCTGAGAGAGTGATCCTTTTGCCCTTCTCCGGGAATCCCCACTGCCAGTCCCTGAAGCTATCACCATGGCAACTCTACATGGCACTAAAGGTGGCCGTGAATCCCGCTAAAAGACTATGACAAACCGCCGCTGGACACCAGACCCACCAAACGCAAGACCTGCTGTCCACCCTCACTACACTCCACCGTCAAACTAGCTCTGCCTGACTCGGTCAAGACCGGGCCAAGGCGGCATTAATGGCATACAAATTGACAACCCAACTCCCCCCATGCGCTGTAGCCGGGCCGCCACCACGGTTTCAAAACGGTCGCTCAACCCCCTCCGCGAGCCCGAGTCAACAGCTGCGCCGCAAAACAGCAGCACGCCGCGGCGGCTCGGTACTCCCCCCGCACACGGCGTCCCACAGCCCCGGGCCGCCCCCCGCAACGTCCCCTTCCCACACGCGGCTCACAGAAACGTACTTGTTGTGAGGAGTCACGTTCTGCAGCATCTTGACCGCAGGGAACCGGCGCCGCCCTCAGCCGCGGAAAGTCCGGGTGGCCTCGGTTCCCCTCACCGCCCGGTCCAGCATAACCCGGTTAAGTTGGGGGAGAGGCCGTTGCTCTTGGCCCTCCAGGCGACAAACACCCTGCCCAGCCGGCACAAAAGCAGTCTCTTCGGGGCCTCGCGGAGAGCTCCGGACAGCTTGGCGCGCTCTGCAGACGGCGGACAGCAAGAAAATGGCGGCGGCCTCAGCTGAGGCGGACGACTAAGGAAGGACTGACTCCTCAAACCAACACAGTCCCCGATCTGAAACACCGTCGTCAATATAGCCCGCTGTTGGTCTGCAGGGATTCCCTCTTCTTGTCGGGACCCTACGGGCCCGATGAGGTCCCGTTTCGATCTCGGATGGAGGCGGATGAACACGAAAAGTGGTTTAGGGAGCCGCCGCCTCCATCTTTGAAATCCTCTTGAGGGCGGAGTAGAGGGGGTGGACAGACTCCGAGAATTGGGCGGGGCCCAAAAAAGGGGAGCTTCAGGGGCTTCTATGGGGTCTGTACTGTCCGCTGGGACCGGTCATAGGCCGGGACGAATGCCATTTCCAAGCGGATGGAGGTGGATTGTAATGGCGGCCCCGGACGACTCGAAGGCTCTGTATCGGTAGGCAGAATCCTCCAGCTCGCTCTAGAGGCTGCTCCACTCCAGCACGAAATGGCGCCGCCGAGCCCCGCGCCAGCCCTTTATATATAGGCGGAGAGGAGGAGCTTCGCCGCTCATGCGCGCCACCCTGCTCGAGATTTCCCCTACCCCCTCCGCGCGCCCGCGCTCGCTCACGCGCCTGAAGACTCTCAGTCGAAGGGGGAGGAACACCTCTCCGCGGGAGCTTTTTCTATTGGCCAGCCGCAGGGATGACGTCATAAACTTCATTTCCAAGGTGTCAGTCACCAGGCAAGAGAGAGCTGCAGAGACCCACAGGGAAGTGGCAACCCGCCACATCTCCAAGCCAATTGGCTGGGCTGTGGTTCGCCGACTCCAGGGAAAGAGGGCGGTTGGAAGGGGTGCGGAAGCCATCGCCCCAGAGCCTCCAGCACCCCCTTTCGCCTCCCCTTCCAACAAAGTCTTCCCCGGCTTCCATACACAGCGCAACTGGAGACTGCCAGGCTCGAGCAGGCCGTGCCATCCGTAGCTCCTCCATTGGCCAAACCGGCAGGGAAACGGGAGGGGTCACGTGGGCGTAGCCGGCCTGGGCCCGCCAGGGCTGTGGCCGCAAGACGCCCGGCGGGTGGTGGTTCTCGGCGGTCAGGCCGCTGCAGCGAAGAATCTGAAATGAGGAAGAAGACGCCATCTTAGAAGCCGCGGCCTGCTCCTCTACGGCGATCAGCTATACAGGCTTCAGAATGGCGACGAGGGGAATCTAACGTCCCATGCTTCGCAATCTAAAACACAGGCTTGCCAAGTCTTAAAATACTCCCTTCCCTTCCCCAAGCCAAACAATGGAAAGACAAGAGCAAAACATTGTTTACCACTCTGTTGAATCCCACAGGCCACGAAAGCTAGAATACGTCTCCCAAATTTGCACGCCCAAACGCCTTTCTAATCCCTCCCCACTCACACCTAGTCACCAACACATTTCTGCTCGTTCGAAAACCCCTCGGCAACCCTGAAGTGGGATTAAATCTCCAAACGCATCCATTACCCTATACAATGTAACCCACCTCACCTCTTCCTCAAACTCCATTCCGGCGTCTGGCTCAGGGAAGAAAAAAGTCCTGCGAGGGGCGACTTAGGGGAAACACCCTCCCCCTCCAGGCGAGCTTGGACCTTCCCCACGCCGCGCACCATCCCCAAGGGCAGACCTGTATCCGCCTCTTAGGGTCCCTCAGTCACGGGAGATAAAGAACCCCCCCGCCCCCCCACCAGGGTCCGGAGTCCTCCCCACGGAGCGGCTGGTCCATCGGTCAGCGCCAGGGAGGAGGGCGAGCGGAGGAGGCGGCGGCTGCGGCTCAGACTAGCCCTCCCCCTCCTCCCCTCCTCCCCTCCCCCCGGCCGTCCGCCTCCGAGGAGGGGCAGGAGCCATTTTGGGAGCTCAGTTTCGCCCCCTCCCCCACTTACTTTTGAGTCTTCCTCATAATTTGGTTATCTAAATAAGGGTGTAGAATAAACGAGAGCCCAAGGTCAGGATCTCCAGAGCATCTCTGGGGCCGTCCCTACCCCCTTACAAGAGAGTGAAAGGATTTTCCCCACCCGAGAAAACCTGCGCTTTGGCGGGGCGTTCCCTCTCCCGTTTCCCTTTTCTTTGCTACCGGGGAGAAAACAAACTTGTGTAGGTATCTGGGGAAAATAATCAACATAGGTGAACAAATATACCGTAAGATTCCCCCTTCCCCAGGGAAGGGCTCGTAAGGGCCTAGGTCCTTGTGCTGCAACCACGCCACCCGCCCTCCTCTGCTGTAGCCCTTCAGCTCCGACCTCGGTTACTGCGTCTAAAATGGCCGCCAATCTCCCGTCTTCCTGACGCCCTGAGTAGAGCAAACCCCGGGAGGGCGGGAGAAAATGAGCAGCGGGAGAGCAGAGTCCCCTTCCCCCAGCCAGGGACCAGGCCCTGGCCCCCAAAAGTACACGCGGCCCCGTCTGGGTAGCTGCAGCGGGGGAGGGGGACAATGACACAGCAACTTTGTAGAGGCCCTCTCCCCTCCCCCTAGTGGCCCAACCTCCCAAATCTACTTTTCTCCACCGAGGCTCTGCAGGTCAGGACAGAGGCCCGTCAGGGGGCCGGCCATGCAAGAAAAGCTTAGGAGGCTGAGAAAATACTGGGCCTTAGAAAGGAAAAGGGCAGCCAGACATTGCTCTCGCTTATTCTCTGCATTCCAGAAAATCACTGCCTCCCGATCCCTCTTTATCCTCCCTTCCCCCACATGAGTCACTAGGGAGGCTACTGCTACTCAGTAATTTGGGAAAGTAACTCTTGCCTCCTTTCCGTTCCCTCCCCCGCAGTACACAAGGAGAGAACTGTTCAGGGCTGGGGGAGGGGATGAGGGAGGCGATGGAAGAGGCCACCCTGGAGAAACCCGAAACCTTGGGAGCTGTGAAATCATTCCAGGTCCTGAGCCTCCCTCGCATCTCAGGCCATGCCTTCTTGACCCCCTACTGCCAGCACCCACCTTGGGCCTGGTTTCTGTTCCTAAGCAGAACTCAAGCTTGTAGCCTGTAAGTCCCCCAGCCTGGAGTAGACACGTGCTCAGGAAAGACCCTACAAGGGCAGAAGGCCCCACAGGTCGTGTCCACGTGAATGCACACAAATTCGATAAGCGACTCGAAACGTAACCTCCAACCTGGCGTGTGACGACTGGAGCCCCCCTACCGCGGACAGAAAGGGCGCATAGCAATGCTCCCTCCAGAGACTCTGGGGAGAAAGCAAGTTGGCGCCTGGGAACCACCTCAGTTCACAACCTGGGTGGCCAACTCCTAAAGCATTCACATCCACGGGTAGGGGCCACAGCCACCACTCCACTCCTCAGCCCACCGCCAGGTCACCCCTCCCTCGGCCGCCGAAGGATCCCTTCTCACCTGGCTCCTGGCTGCTGTACCCCCAGGGGCCGAATGGAATGGGGGGGCACGCCGCCCCCTCACCCCTTTGCCCTCCAACTGGTATGGAGGAATGAGGCTGGCCATTCCCCTCCCCCACCCCCGTGGCCCTCTCCCGCTCGCCCCCTTCCACGCTCCCATTGGCTGTAAAAGGTTTGAAGGACAAATCTTTCCACTCTCAGGATTCTTTTCTGAACCCCAAGAATCCCCCTCCCGGACTCCCCACCATTGGTTAAGCACTTAAGTGACTGACAACATCTCCGCCCCACAAGGGCCCATTCTCACCTGGATCCTAAAGCCTTCCAGGGGGCCTCCAAAGTTGCCCTCGGCTTGGTACGGGGTATGTAATCCGGGGTGTCAACCCCCCCCGGAAAACGAAGCCTTGTTGGGGGAGGGGGCGTAGCCCCCAGCCCCTCCCTTCCCGACCGGGCTGGGGGTTGGGGAGACATTGGGGCCGCGCCGCCACGTCAGCAGCACCCAGATTGGCTGACCGGGGTCACGTGCCCGCTGTCCCCCCCATCTCCCCCAGCCACGAGGACCAGTTTTCCAAACGTTCCTGGGGGTCGCGCAAGGGGCCAAGGGTTCCGCATGGCCCAAGCCTATGTTCTGAAACCCAGAGCGCTATAATGCTGCTGCTTTTCCAAATCCCTAGCTTCCTATCCCGCAGTCGTCGACTCTGTCCCCCCCCCTCGCCTCTCGGTACTGGTTCAGCATGGCCGCTGCAGCCCAGGAACACACATAGCGCAGGCGCAAGGGTGCGTTCTGACTGGGGGAGGGGAAAAGCGTGCCGGAGGCCGCGGGGAGAGCCGTAGAGCGCATGCGTCCAGGCCAGGACCACAGGTCGGGCGACTGAGCTCCGAGCTCGCTCAGTTGGTGGGGCGGGAGCCCGCGCCCGGCGCCCGGCGCCCGGCGCCGACTTCCTGCCTCAATGCCCCCTCCCCCACTACCTGCGGCCTAGCGAGACAGCCCCGGGCGCTCAGGCTTCTTTCATCCTCGGTAGCTGTAAGGTGCTGCTTGGCTGATCCTGGCCGGAATCCAGTGGAAGCGCGCGCCGCTGAGCCCCTGTCAGCGGAGGAGAATGGGGCCTGGACCTGCAGATGTGAGGGTCTGCAGAGAGGGGCCCCTTCCCTGGTGTCCTATGGTGTGCGATCACTGGAGAGGGAGTTTCTCGCCCTCGTCGCACCTGCAGCGCGGGGAGATGAGATTTGGATTTCGTTTTCGGCTTAGTCTTAGCCTGTTAACCTCTCCGTTCCCTGAACCTGTGCCAAACTTTAATTTAGTGAAACCTGTGAATCACTGGACAACTCTTCTTTCTACGGTATTTACCAGCTAATTACTTTTCCTTCTCTATTAATCTCGTGGTGGACCGTTTAAACCTCTTGTACTCCTAAAGTTTTGACCTCTACTCTCTCAGTTTTGAATGAATCCCCCCAAAATTTTGGAATTGGTAACGTAAAATGTTAACGGTGGTTCGATTGCCAGCTAAAACGTAAGCCTTTAATTTGTCATTAGCCGATAACCGCTCCCTTGATTCCCCAGAGTATGGTCCACATTTTCACGCTGTAGACCCTAATCTCTCCCCACCGGCAGATGACACCTCACAGAACAGAAACGCCAACTTGCAGAACACGTGGCCTCCCATTTCCCACCTGCAAACTGGGTCAAGTGTGTATTCCTTTCCCATTTCACTAGAGATCCTCTCTTCGGTTTAAGGAAATCCTTTATTATTGACCTGGTCAACCTTCTCTATTGCCCAGAGCCTGTCCTTCCTTCTCCGCCCTTTGACCTTTTTAACTTTTGGTTTCCCGGCTAACAGAAAGCATAACCCTCTCAATGTCACGCCCTCTTCGAGACTCGTTTACCTTTCAGCTCCCTTGCACAGCCAAGACCTGAAATTGAAATTATCCTTACCATCTAAATTCTTTCTCACCCTCTCTCTCCCCATCCCCACTCTTCAAGCTACCTCTGCCAGGCTCCTACCACCAAAACTTTTCTGGCAAATCTCACCAAGAACCGCCTAATTGGCAAAGTCAGGAAGCACTTTTCAGTTCTCACCTTATTTGACCTCTGAAGCATTTCACATTTGATCATGTTTCCTTCCTGACATTCTCTCTACCCTTGATTTCTATGATCACGCTCACTTGTTTCTTTTCCTGTTTGTCTAACTGTACCTCTCCAGTCTCAGAGGATTTTTCTTCTTAGCCCCTTTTCGTGTGTTGATGTTTGCTATGATTATGCCTGTTTGCTTCTAGTTCTATTAAACTTCTCTAGGTAATCTGACTCTATGGCTCAAAGCCTCTCAAGTCTGTATCTTTAGTTCAGACAGCTCTCTCAGCTAAACTTCCTACTAAATATTCCTACTTTAATAACTCTCAGACACCAGTATGTTCATAATTGATGCAGTCTCTAGACACTCTAGACCTGTTCTTTCTTTTCTGTTATCCTGAGTAATGGTGGCTATTTAGTCACAAAGCGTGTAATCTGGGAGCCCATTCTTGATTTCCTTTTCTCTCACCTTTACAGACTCACGATTTTGCCTCTTAACTATCCATCAACTCACTCATCTGTCCTAGTTCTATCACCTGAGCTATACCAACAGTCTCCTTAATTATTTCCTAGACACATGGCTATCTGGATTTAAATTAACACAATTTTAAATTTAGTTCCTCAGTATACTAGCCACATTTTAAGTTCTCAATAGCCACCTGTGACTAGTGGCTGTCATAGGGGAAAGCACAGATTATTGAACATTTGTGTCATTGCAAGAAGTTCTTATTTTTCCTTCCATTTCCCCTAACCCCTCCACCCCCACCCCCATTCAGGAGGTGGAGTCTTGCTCTGTCACTCAGGCTGGAGTGCAGTGGCTCGGTCTTGGCTCACTGCAACCTCCGCCTCTCAGGTTCAAGCAATTTTTCTGCCTCAGCCTCCTGAGTAACTGGGATTATGGGCACCTGCCACCACACCAGGCTAAATTTTGTATTTTTAGTAGAGAACAGGGTTTCACCATGTGGGCCAGGCTGGTCTGGAACTCCTGATCTCGTGATCTGCCCATCTCAGTTTCCCAAAGTGCTGGGATTACAGGTGTGAGCCCCCATGCCTGGCCTCATTGCAAGTTCTGGTGGGCAATGCTGCTTTAGACTTTCCTCTCTGCCTCTGCCATGATACTGCCAGGAGAGAGCTTTCCAAAATATAGCCCTGGCCGTATCTCTTTTTTAAATTCTATGTTAATTCCTCACTGACTATGCGATAAAGTCCAAATTCCTATGTTTGCAAGAACAGGCTGCCTAGCTTTTGAGCCTCATGTCTAGCCACTTCCTCTTGGGCCCTATATTCCAGCTATATTGAACTGTTTCCCAGACACATCATTTCGTTTCACGCCTCTGTGTTTTACACATGTGCGCTTTGTATATGGAGTAGGCTTTTCCCCAATCTATGTAAGCCCAAATACCAACATCTCTGAAAAGCTTAATGTTACCTTTCAAGTTGAGCTGTCTGCTCATTCTTTGGTGTCCCTTCCTCTTATGATTATACTTTCCACAGTGAGTAGCATTTGTGTGATTACATGTTTCTGTCTACTACTAGACCTTGATCTTGGAGAGCAGGACCATAATGTATTCTTTTTTTTCTTGCTTTCTTTTCTTTTTCATATTCCCAGATCCTGTCATAGTATCTGGCCAATATGAGGTCCTCACAAATCGAGCAAATATTGAGGTGAGTTGATGTGTAAGTATGTGACTTAGGTAAGAGTGCGATGTGTATGTTTTATGGGGCATCATGTATAGGGGAATAATCATAGACAAAATTAATGCCTTCAAACATATCTGAGACATTAGAATTGTGTGGGGAAAGACAGAAGTAGAACAGCACAGCACAGGTTATTGTCACAGAAAATAGTCTAGTTCAATCTAGCCAGAACATAAGCTATAAGAAGTAGAGCAGGCAAATAGAAAATGGGAGGTAAATTTATGTTAGGGAACACATTATGGAGAGTTTTCAGCTGTTAAGTTTGGAACCAGTGAGTAACTGAAATTTTTCAACCAGTGACTTGATCAGAATTATGTTGTTAGATTGGAACTCTGTCTTCCAGTGGTTGGCACTGTCCGTGTTAATAAACATCAAATTAAAATGACAAGGGGTTGGAATATTATCACCCTCAGTTTTCAAATGAAACAACAGAAGCAAAGGATGTCTTAGTCTGTTTTCTGATGCTATCACAGAATACCACAGACTGGTAATTTATAAACAATAGATGCTGGGAAGTCCAACAGCATGGCATTGGCAGCTGGTAAGGGCCTTGTGCATCATCCCAAGGCAGAAGGGCAAACGAGCACATGAGATGGAGGGAGAATGGGGGCCAGAACATACCTTTTTAAATGGGAACCCGTACCTACAATAGCAGCATTAATCCATTCATGAGAGCAGAGACCCCATGACCTAATTAACTCTTAAAAGATCCCACTTCTTAATATTGTCACAATAGCAATTAATTTCAACAAGAGTTTTGGAGGGGAAATTCAAACCATAGCAGATATTATTTATCTAAGGTCACACTTTTGGTAAGCAGTAGAATTGGAATTTGAACCCAGCTGACTCTGGGTGGTATATTATTCTGGTTACTAGGCACAGCTGGGAGTTTAAGATCCAAGACTGAAGTTGGAGAAAAAAAGATTAGGAAAAGTAAATTTGAGACTTACTGTTGAAGTGATGTTTGAATCAGCCATGAAGGTAGCTGAGGTTTATAAAGGAGAGGGTATAAATACAATTTAGGGTGAAGGATTGAGCTTTAGGCTAGAGCCTCATACAGGAAGCAAGAATAAGAAGTGGAACCAATGGAAGATCTCAAACCAGAAGGAAAAGCAGAGCAACATAATGTGAGGAAGCTAGAACAGGAGATGGTTCCAGGAATGATTTCATGTTTATTGAATGAATGATTAAATCAGGACTTCTTAAGCTTTTTATGTGCCATCAGCATTTTTGTCAGTTTGGTGAAGCCTTTGGATCTTGTCTGATGATATTTGTAAATGCATAAAATGAAATGTAAACTACAGTTATTGAAATACAGAGGTCCCCCCTTATCTGCAGTTTCACTTTCTGTGATTTCAGTTACCCAAGGTCAGCCCTGGTCTAAAAATAAGTACAATAAGATACTTTGTATATGAGACAGAAAGACCATATTCACATAACATTTATTACAGTATAATTGTCCTATTTTATTGTTGTTGTTAATCTCTTCCTGTCCTAATTTGTAAATTAAACTTTATTGTAAGTACATCTGTGGCTAGGAAGAAACTGTAAAATCAGATTTGGTGCTACGTGGGGGGCATTACTGTATTTAAAGAAATGTGTGATGATCTAGTAGTATGTGTTTCTTTATTAATACAATACAGTGTTTCTTTACTAATACATAAAAAGGATGATTTATTGGCAAGTTCAACAACTCCCATAATTGTAAGTGATATTTTGAGATGTCTGTAACAACTATAATGTGATATGAAAATATTAATTGATGGTGTTTTCCTTGATGACAGTGTTACAGTTACTGGCTGTTACTACAAAGATTTATTTTCTATATTCAGAAAATTAAATTTCAATGAGAGTTTTTTGAAAATAAAGATGACAGGCCAGGCACGGTGGCTCACACCTATAATCCTAGCACTTTGGGAGGCTGAGGCAGGTGGATTACCTGAAGTTGAGAGTTCAAGACCACCCTGACCAACATGGAGAAACCTGTCTCTACTAAAAATACAAAATTAGCTGGGCATGGTGGTGCATATCTGTAATCCCAGCTACTCAGGAGGCTGAGGCAGGAGAATTGCGTGAACCCAGGAGGCGGAGGTTGTGGTGAGCTGAGATCATGCATTGCACTCCAACCTGGGAAACAAGAGTGAAACTCCATCTCAAAAAAAAGAAAGATGACTTTTTAAATTTTCATCCAAGTTTATGGACCTCTGAATTCTTTTGTTTTTCTTTGAAAACTTTTTTATTGATATATAATAATTGTATATGGGGTACATGTGATGTTTTGATACATACAGAAGATGTGTAAGGATCAGGGTAATTAGTATATCCATCACTTCAAATATTTATTTTTTTCTGTTGGTAGCATTTCAAATCTACTCTGGTAACTATTTTGAACACGATAACTATCGAACACTGTAGAACTTACTCTTTCAATTTAACTGTATTTTTGTAACCATTAATGAATCTCTCTTCATCTACTCCTGCCCTTTCCCAGCCTCTGGTCACCATCATTCTACCCTCTACCTCCATAAGACCAACTTTTTTAGCTCCCACATAAGAGAATATGTAATATTTTTCTTTCTGTGCCTGACTTATTTCATTAACATAATGACTTCTAATTCCATCCATGTTGCTGCAAAATGACAGGATTTCATTCTTTTTTATGGCTGAATAATATCCATTTTATATATATATACACCACATTTTCGTTATCCAGTCACTTGATAGATATTTAGATTGATTCCATGTCTTGGCTACTGTGGGTAGTGCTGCAATAAATATAGGTGTGTACACATCTCTTTGATATGCTGATATCCTTTCTTTTGGATATATACCCAGCAGTGGGATTGCTGAATCATGTAGTAGATCTGCTCTTAGTTGTTTGAGAAACCTTTATACAGTTTTCCAAAGTGGCTATGTTAATTTACATTTCTACCATCAGTATGTGAGCATTTCCCTTTCTCTGCATCCTCACCAGTATTTCTTATCTGTGTCTTTTTTATAACAGCCATTTTAAGTAGATTCAGATGATATCTCATTGTGGTTTTGATTTGCATTTTCCTGATGATTAGTGATGTCAAGCATTTTTTCATATGCTCGTTGGCCATTTGTATGTCTTTTGAGAAATGTCTATTCAGATCATTTGCCCATTTTCAAATGGGATTATTTGGAGGTTTTTTGCTGTTGAGTTTGAGTTCCTTATGTATTCTGGTTATTAATCCCTTATCAGATGGCTAGTTTGCACATACTTTTTTCCCATTCTGAAAGTTGTCTCTTCGCTTTGTTGATATATATTCTGGTTATTAATCCCTTATCAGATAGCTAGCTTGTACATATTTTTTCCCATTCTGAAGTTTGTTTCTTCACTCTGTTGATTGTTTCCTGTGGCAGAAGCTTTTTATCTTGATGTAATCCCATTTATCTATTTTTGCTTTCGTTGCCTGTGCTTTTGAAGTCTTATACCAAAAAAATGTTTGCTTGGGCCAAAGTCTTGAGCATTTCCCCAGTATTTTGTTATAGTAGTTTTATAGTTTCAGGTCTTACATTTCAGTTTTTAATCTATTTTGATTTAATTTTTGTATTCAATGAGAAATGATGTCCAGTTGTATTTTTCTGCATATTGTTATCCAGCACCATTTAATGAAGATAGTGTCCTCTTCAACAAAGGTACTAAGTACTGACTATCTTAGTACCTTTGTTGAAAGTCAGTTGGCTATGAATATGTGGATCTATTATTTCTGTGTTCTTTATTCAGCTCTATTGGTCTATGAATTGTTTTTATCCCAATATCATGCTCTTTTAGTTACTATAGGTTTGTAGTATATTTTGAAGTCAGGTAGTATGATGCCTCCAGCTTTGTTCTTTTTGTTCAGCATAGCTTTGACTATTTAGTGTCTTCTGTGGTTCCATAAGAATTTTAGGTTTGTGTTTTCTATTTCTGCAAATAATGTCTTTGGTATTTTGATAGGAATTGCAACAAATCTGTAGATTGCTTTTGGTAGTACAGTCATTTTCAGAATACAAATTCTTCTAATCTATGAACACAGAATGTCTTTCCATTTTTTTGTGACCTCTTCAGTTTCTTTCCTCAGTGTTTCATGGTTTTCCTTGTAGAAATCTCTCACCTCTTTGGTTTATTTTAGTTATTTTATTTTGTTTTGGGTTATTTTTGTATTTGTTGAAAATAGGATTACTTTCTTTAATTTCTTTTTCCGTTAGTTTACTGTTTGTATGCAGAAGCACCATTGATTTTTATATGACAATTTTGTATCCGGCAACTTTACTGAATGTATCAGTTCTAAGAGGTTTTGTGTGTGTGGAGCTTTTAGTGTTTTGTATGTATAATATCATTTTGTCTGCAAACAAGAATAGTTTGGCTTCCTTCTTTCCAATTTGAATGACCTTTATTATTTTTTTTCTCTTGCCTAATTGCTCTGACTAGAACTAGACCTCTGATTGCTATTGCATTTGGACTGCAGGTTAAAAACCCTTCTTCTGATTGAAAGAGGAATGAGACCCTGTGGCAAGGTGTGAGGGAATGAAGACAGAAAAAAACTCACTGGTTTGGTAACTGGGGGCCATTACTGATATTGGAGAGTAGGTTCTATAGTCTGGGAATACAATAGAGTATGGGGACCTGAAAACCCAGACCAAGTAATAAAGAGTATGGTAGGAAGGAGAGAGCTATTTATGTTTTTTGAGAGGGAAAGTGAGAGCTACCTTCATAAGAAGATGTATTGGATTTATTTAATCCATACTCCGGATCAAATTAGAATCCAGAGTATGAGGGACCTGACATCCCAGGCTAAATAATTGAGACTGAATATAGTGGAAAGGAGAGTTACTTGTTTTTTGAAAGGAAAAGGAAGGTAGCTACCTTTGTAAGAAGATTTCGTTGTAGGATTGATTTGTTTATTTGGCAACCGTGGAGTGGTTTTGGAGAGACTGGCGGTAGGTCAGTTAGGAACCTA